TGTGTGTCTTCGTGTGTGTGTGTGTGTTTGTGTGTGTGTGTGTGTTTGTGTGTGTGTGTGTGTGTGTGTGTGTGTGTGTGTGCAGACAGGACTGTGTACTGGCAGGGGAAAGTAGAAAGAGTTTAAGGCTGACTCCAGCTCTACGCCATATCTAATTTAGTGTGTTTGTACAGGCAAAATAGCAGTTTTGTGTCCAAAATGAAGTGCTGCACTGGGCTGTAAGTTCCTCTACCTGGTTTTGACACCAATAAATAAACAGTTCTCTAAGGGAAATCCGATCTAATGGAAGTCCATTTATAGTAATGTGGCTTATATTGCTGTATTCAACCTCAGTAACCAGCTTTTCTAAGACTCCAAATAAGATTTATGAAAAGTTACTGCTAGCTCAATAAATGCAAAAGGAAATGTGAAGATATTTATTTCATTGTGTTCGTGACCAATATATTATATGGTCAAACAATGCAGGAAGAATAAAATGACCAGACTCAAAAGTGAACACATATCTTAAAAAATACTTACACGTACATATTCTTCTCTCTCAAACTACTGTAAGGTGTTGTTCTATAATAACTGCAGACTTACAGTATACAGCCTAGTGTGTCATCTTTTGATTTATTAAAGATCCGAACACATGCTGGAGTAAAGCACAGTACAAAAACACATGGCAGTAGCACAGAGCTCAGTAACAAAAATATGCACGGCACTTTGCCGTTTGGTAAGCAGACTATTTGTATCGGACACAGGCGTACACAGTGGAATCGCAATCATGGACCTGCAATCTGTCTGGGCTAACAGGAAGAATAATGTCAGCGTAGATCACATCGTCTGCGTTCACGACCTAAAGACACACAAAGAAACACTAATAAGGAACACAAATCACAAAATATTGCTCTGTATGTTCTTGAAAGATAATTAACTTACATTGTTTGTACTGATTGTGTAACAGGACTCATCCACCTGCCGTCCCACTAAAATAAAGATGCACAGAATCATGTTTTGGTTCAATTGTGTTCAAACTACCACAATACATGTTCAGTGATGTACAGACTGGTGTATATTTCTCAAGCATAGTTTTAATTACCTTCATGTTTGGAACAATGAAAACAGAACTTAAAGCATATTTGAAGCCAATGTACGTAAAGTGATTGCCTCAATGACCTCAAAGAACAGTTGTGCAAGGGATCTGTTTGAAAGGGATTGTGTGTATATGTATGTATGGACTAGTCTGTGCTAAGGTATGTGACAAAATGTTACATGACAGCGCTTTCAAAAATACTATTTCCATAGGTTGAGGAAGTTTAGGGGAACTTACTTGTTCTTCTTCTGTTCACAACAAACAATGAAACAAGTGCTGTCAAAACTGCACATCCCACTACTCCAACAGCCAAACCGATTGTGTTCTGGTTGCCACCTGAAAATGAAAATTACTCATCATCATTTCACAATTCAAATAATGTGTTGCATGGCTGAAACTAGTACACAAACTCCTCTAACCTTAAAGGAAGAGTTTGAGAATTATTTTGAAATTGATACCATTTTCACGACAGTGCTCTTCTATATAAAGCTAAAGCTAACAGGCAGTTAGCTTATCTAACCTTGTAAGACAGGAAACAGCTTGGTTTTGTCAAATAACCTACCAGTCCCTATAAAGCTCAACAACTGAAATGGAATATTTCATTACTTTAATATTGTCTTAAAACTATGTGTGAAGGTGAGTGCTTGCGTGCAGTGAGTTTCTGGAGTCTTGTACTTATCCCAAGGTTAGGCTTTTTTGTGCTAAACTAAGCTAACTTTCTCGTAGAAAATCATATTTAAATGAGAGTGGTAACAATTTTCTCTTGGCAAGTAAGCGAGTAAGTGTGTATCCAAAAAACACCCATTTAATATTTAATTTGAAATTAACTGCAAACAGTCGATTTGTATCTTAAAACTCAATATCATACAAAAACCATGTAGTGCCTTTTAGTTCTCTTGTCAGGATTAATAGTTCACATTTTCAGGAATTTTTTTGGGTTATTGAGCTTTATTTATTTATGTATGTTTTACAAAAAAGTAAATTTGTATATATTGTAATTAAAGTCTCAGATTATTACTTTACCTTGATTTTCAGGTTCTAGGTCTATGACGAGACCTCTTCCCCTCCCTTTAGGAGCTACAAAGAAAAAAACATTTGTTATTATTAATAATTTGCATTCAACACCTAGTGGTCTACTGATCACGACAAATCATACTGACCTGGGACTCGGACCCCCAACTCCACTGAAGTCTGGGCCTGTCCATCCACAAACGCTATGCATCTAAACTTCTTGTTTCCAGGACTTTGAAGGGTGACAGTCAGAGTTATATCACAAGAAGACTCCCTTGTTATTGGTTGTTCTGAGTCCTCTTGTATCTCAGCGCCGGATTCATCCACCCATGTCAGTCTGACCTTGCGTTGATGTGTATAGCAATGCCACTCCTCTAAGTAGGTGAAGTAAATGCACCGCAGCAACACTGTTTTGCCAGGCATGAGGATTAACTCTGGGATGGCTGAGGGGGTTGAAAAATGTATTTACTGTTTGTTCATCTCACAGCCTTCTCATTATCAGGTGAAGTATACCATATCAACCCACACATCAGTAACACTTTAATCTTGAGAGTACTTACTGTTGAGAGGTGAAAAAACCTCTGGAAATTGTTGGCAGCGATGAAGTCCAACATCCTCTGCTGTGATTTGCAGAGTGCATTTTGAGTCTTCTGATGTAGCTGTTTTGATCCCTCCATCACTGACAATAGCAAAGTAATCACTTGTTTGGCTACTGCTGAGCTGCCGTACAGGAAAGCAGACTAAACCTTCCTCACATGGAGAAGAGCTTTGATCATTCTGTTCAGCAAGTATCAGACCGTCTTCTCCATTTACACCTGGTGAAAGAAAATAAAGAAGTGTCAGTTTTTCTCCTAGATATTCCAGATAAGATAATTAAACTATCACGAGATAAGATTTTTTCAATTACCTGTCGTGATTAAAAAAAACAGAAGCAGTCTTATGACAAGGTGAGCAGTTCCAGCCATCCTGTGTGCAAATCTGTTAGCTGTGAAACATTTGAGATTCACTGTTTGTCAGGTTGTTAGTGCATTTGTCAACAGAAAAAGTCACTTCCTGCATTTGCCAACATCCTCAACCTCCGTATGTTGAAAAGCCTAACTGCTATAGGTTTACTTTAAACTGAGTATAATGTTGAACAGGTTTACACATTTAAGAGCTCATGAAAGTCAGGGTTTAGTAATAGTAAATCGGAATGGGGAAAACTTGCATGCCTTAGAAAACATTAACACAAAGGAGTTATTTGGGATCATTGAAAAAAAGGGTCCCATTCTCACAGGAAATGTAAGAAAGCTGTAATGTTCCAAACCTTTTGTTCATCTACAGATAAAAGCATTGATTCTGCAGGATGAAGGAACTACTCTGACATTTTAATAGACAATATAAAAATAAGTTTATCGATCAGTACAGACTCTTTTTCTCCCTTTTAAGTCCTGTGAGAGGATATGACCTTAAACAAGATAAATGGATAAATAAAGATGTTGGTAATGACCAGATTTCAGCAACGAAGTGCAATCTTATGGGAGATGGTATTTATAACTTCAACAGCGCTGTATATTTCAAATATGTCTTTTGTCTGATTGATATTAAAATAATTTTCAAGGTGATAAGGTATATAACTAACTAAACTATTTAGTGGTACATTTAGATTCAGTTACATTGCACAAGAGGTGACGACTCACAACAGACCTCACAGAGAAAGTATTGTTTAATTTTTTCATTACTTCTCTTAATAAGACTGAGCCTTTGGGATGTTCTTGCAGTTACCACTGAACAACAGCAGAGAGCACTATAGTTTAAACTACAGTTACTGATCCCTTTTCTACACTATTTATAATAAGTTATGTCATTTTATAGCTCCCTGTGATCCTGTCTCACTGGAAGCTACACTTGAGGTTGGGTTTTTCAAAGTTATGCTTTTTTCTTAAAAAAATGTGTTCAAAAGTTACCGTCAGGCAATGTATCTAAAATTGCAATCTTCATTTCCTAGATGCCAGTGGCCCATTATACAAATTAAACTGCCACCAGCTTCCCTTCAAAGCAACCCAAGAGTTTGATTACTTGTAAATAAATCCCAAAGCTCCTTATTTTCAATTTCTGCCATTTTCATGATCCAGTTAAAAGCTGGTTCAATCGATTGGGCCGTTAATTTATCATGACATATGGGTACAGCCTATGCTAACATTACATTGTTGAATGCTTAAATGACCAGATGTATTCATACTAGGAGAACAACAGAATATGAGCTCATACATACAGTGTAATGTACAATGTAGTTTAGTGTCTTGTATTGAAGCAAACAAGGAGGTGCTTAATACTTTTTATTTAGTCATTTTTGCACATCTTCAGTGACAAATCTAGACAAGAAGGTTATGTGTGACTGTTACAAAAATATCATATACTTATGTCTTAGTTCTTTTGGTAAAAATCTCCTCAGCCAATCCAACTGATGAAATAGAGACTTTAAAATTGCTTAAACTTGGACATTCAGGGAACCACACAACCTTAGAATGAAAAATATATGTTATATGTTTAAATATATATATTTACATCAACACAATCTCACATTAATACAGTTACATCCTTCACATATTGCATCAGCTGGACTACACATTAGCTGTCGAATCACCATGTTTCAGATGTAATCCACCTTACAGTCAGAGGGGACAGTCGCTGTTCAAGTGGTGGAATTATTGATTTAAAAAAAAAAAACATAACAGAAATGTCCCTTTGCACTTTCATTTCTCCTCATCGCCCACAAACCAGTCTACAGCCATGGAGATGTTCAAGTTTCTCAGCAGCATTGTACAATTCAAACATTTAAATTTAAGCAGGAAATCTTTTTTATCCTTCCTGTGCGAGTACAGGTGTGTTACATTCAAAGTACTGAAAGTGCATCCGTGACTTCCTGTTCTCCAACAGCCTTTCAAAGATAGTCTTCACACACAACAGTAGTATGACTTGTTAAGTTTACAACAAGAGAGTTTCAGTAGCACCTACGATTTACTTCCAATACATTAGCATTTTAGTAGGGGAGCAACTACGATTTTTTAACAGATTTTCAACATTCAGGCATAAATAACAGAAAGATAAACATATATGATACGGACCACGCACATGCAGAAAGCAGACAAGGCCCACTCGTTAACAATACCTTAACATTATTAAGCTAATATACTAACTCGGAAAATAAATAAACTGCAATAAAGCCCCAATCCAGAGGGGGAGGTACAGTATGGGTACACCAAAGAAAAAATACCTTCTATCTTTATCTTCTAAAAATGTAAATAAAACGAAAATAAAGTGATAAGGGTCATACTAAATTAATTAGACATTTAGAAATCCCCTAGCAGTTTAAAAAGCTTTGAAAAAAAGAACTGAAAAGTATAAAAATGAAACAAAATAATGGAACACGTGAGGGGCAACATGTATCCCGTTTCACTTCTGGATCAGGCCTTTAAAGCAGAAGTAAAGTTAAAGTGATAAATAAACTTCACATTGTTTGGTAAAACCTAAAATGCAATACAGACAAACAAGACCTAAAACAAAAGTCCATCTCTAAATCCTGCTACGCACGCTTCAGTCCCTTCAATTTCAGTCAGAATTGGGTACTGACGTGCGCCGCATCGAGAAATAGTGCTTTAGTGGGGATTAGATTGTAGCTGCTATATGTTCATTTGGTTTAAAAGCACACAAAAGTGATAAGTTCTGCACAAAAAAAAGCTATATTCCATCTCTCTCTCGGCTCTCGACAGGATACAATTCAGTCACAAACAGGTGCTTCAGCTTCAACAAAATACAATTATTCATATTATAAGGCAGGGAAAATGTTTCCAATAAACATTAGAAAATAAATGAATCAAAGACAATGATATAAACACAGATGCAGTTAAATATATATATAGAGATATCAACCTTCAGTGCACACGCTACCTAGCCACACCCTCACTTTTGTGGCTCAGTAACAAGTCTGGATCAGTGTAATACAAGAGATTTGTAAAACTGCTGCAAAATAACTTAATTTCTTATTAGAGGTAACACGTTTACAACTCTGCATCGTCAGAGGCGAGACTGAAACTGAGAAAAATATACACTTATTTTCCTTTGTTTCCTTTTTAAAATGACAGACTGTTTTTGACTTACAACTGGGAATGACTGGTCTGTTGTGAGAGTTACTAACAGTAATAACGTTTTTTTTGTTTATGTTTGTTTCTTCTTTCCATGCTCTAGTAAAGTGCCCATGTTGAGACTTTTGTGCAATCACAGGCTGGAGGGGTGGGCCTGCTGCTGAAGCTGCGCCTGGTGACCCGTCGGGGCCAACTCGCAGTCTTTAGGTCCTTGCCCCTCCCCCCGGGAGTACATGAGGATGAGGGTGACGGTGGCGAAAGTGGCTGCGTTGACGGGGAAGGCTCTCAGCAGCGTGGAGGTGAGGCCTCGTGTGAACACCATGTAGCCCTCTCTCCTGACGCTCTGCCGCACACAGTCGGCGATGCTGCTGTATCGGTACACCCCCCCCACCCCGTCCGCCTGCAGCCGTGATTTGATCACATCCACGGGATAGGTGGACAGCCAGGAGGCGATGCCAGCCATGCCCCCTGCAAACAGCAGTTTGGGGATCATGAAGCGGTCATCTGGCTCAAACCCGAGTCCTCGCGTCAGCACGTCGTAGGCCAGGAAGTACACCCCGAAGCCGGGTGTCTCGCGAATCAGTGTGGTGACCATGCCTCTGTTCACGCCCCGCAGACCCTCCCGGTTGTAGATGCGTACCAAGCAGTCCAGGGAATTCTTGTACAACTTCCTGGAGGACTTCTTCTCTCCAGTACCCTGCAGCTGCAGCCGGGTTTTAGCCAGCTCCATGGGGCAGCAGATGACACACTGGATGGCACCCGCTGCTGCGCCCGCCAGGAACTGGTTCATCGGGGTGTCGTGTCCCAGCAGACGCATGGTGTTCCCCTGGACTCCAAACACTATGGCGTTGATGAATGTGAGGCCCATCATGGGGGATCCGATGCCTTTGTACAAACCAAATAACTGTGCAGGGTCAGAGACATCGTATTAGACAACATGTTTTTACACATAGCCAAAATCTTAAAAAACAATTAAATGTAGGGTCTCTAGATTAATTGCAAAAGTTGTCTTTCACTTACATTACTCAGTTAATGGATAAAACACTGGTTTAATAACTGTTGAGGTCATATTTGGCAAAAGAATGTTGCTTATCATGCAATGTTTTCAGATTTGGCTCCAATGCTAAAACTAATAGAAATACAATCGTAAAAATACGGGTTGAGCACATGTAAAACTCTGACAAGTTTTACTCTGTTCCTATGTCAAAAAACTTGCAGATGAAATCTAGCAGGCTGGCTCCTGTTAAAAGCAGAATATGTTCTAGTGTAAACAACACATGTAGCCAACTTCATCGAACAATTTCTGTCTTTCTGTAATAAAGGTGCCTGCAGTAAACGTGAACAAAATGACCTGAAGCTTCCAAAGCAAAGATCCTGAGAAACACTGCTCCTTCAGTTCACCTTGTCACAAAATATGTTTTTCACCACCACCCTTCAACAGCTAATAGAATTTCTGACATTTGGAATAGAAAATCCTGTGATGTAAATATATTCCCTGGGCTAAAAATAACTGATCTAATTGTTAACAAAAAGAAAAAGATCACAATGTTAACACCGAAAGTGAAAACATTTTAAAACCGGGGAAAATCAATGGACAAGTCTGAACCCTCATCTAGAGTATCCAAGTATCCCACACTTAGGCCTCACTAATTAAAGTTCCGTCTTAAAATGAAGAGTGACATAACTCTCAGTTCACTCTGACCTCACTACCTTTAAACAAGTAGAGGCCACAACGGCCATGTTGGCCGTACTTTGCTAAAGATAGATTCTGTCTAACTTAAGTTAGCTGACCTAGAAGACACCGTGTATATAACCTAACCATAGATACTTATCGGTTATATTACAGCACGCATTAGAATTAGATTAGCATGGGAAATAAAACCACGTACCGTCTCCTGCCGAATGATGGACTGGAAACAGTGAAAGGTCCCACGGTACAGAGGCTTGTCCACACTCTGGACCTGCAGCCTCACCTGGAAAACAAGAAACATCAGTCTGTTAAAGCCAGAAAAAACACAGGTATACATACATATGTTTAAAGGTACAGAGTATAGCCTAAAATGGCTTGTTATATAACCCGGTAATAAACAGTATTCTGTTCAAGAAAAAAAGCACTTGGCCCACCTTAACCGTGTCAAATGGGTGTCCAACCAAGACTCCAGCAGCCCCTGCAGACAAGAGGAACAACATATTTAATCACAATAAATTGTACAAAAATAGACGTAATGATAATTTTAACATGATTTTCATAAAAGAATACTAAAATGATTATGGTCATTTTTACATCATTTACATTTTCTTAAAGACAATAAAAAATGGCTATGGTTTAAGGATTGGTACCAAATAAAGATATTTGTTTAAGTCTGTAGAATATGGTTTGTTGTCAAGCAAATATTTGATTAAAAATGTTATTTTGACAAACATTGCAGCCTGAATTATTAATTATTTGCCTCATGCAATTCAAAAAGAGCAATGATGCCCACATTTGAATTAATTGTTCAGCCCTAATGGACACATTCATTCAATCAAATAGTTCAATTTTTGTTAATAAATTAATGACAACACAATTAAAAAAAAAAAATTCTATTAGGCTTCAATCTTCATAATCATCAACACAGTAGGTGTCCAATGGTATCATAATCATAAAGCCAAACTTGTGGGAGTTAAATACAAAGGTTTTTCAGATATTTAAGCACACACTAACACTGGTTGTTTTGCACATCTGTCACTAAGCGTAATGTTATTTACTGCCAGCTCTGCCTTTTTGCACACAGTCCAAACATCTGCTAAGTCTTCATATTGCTTTATAACACTTTTTCTGATTACTTTAGCACAAACACATCAGGCCTGTTTAGTTCTTGGCCTATTTTACTCGTGTTTGAAGGCCAAACCTCTTGCTGCTGGCACTGTTGTGTAATTTTAGAGCGTTCCACCATCTCCTCCAGGGTAACACTACATTATCACCCTCTAAACTTTATTTGGAGCGCCTGTAAAAGTTACATAAGCTGTGCTAGTGAATCACATGCCCAAGTTCTGATGCCAGATTGGGCTTCTGATCTCAGTCTCCATTGAAACTTTATTACAATTCCTGGAAAGGCCACAAACAACATTAGGCTTTAACCACAAAACAAAAAGAATCTAAACTCAATCCAAAATAGGACAGCATTTGGGTTTTACAGGCAATGTGATGATCTAAATTTGCCTAATTGAGATATTTTGCCAACAGTTTCATTTAGTTACTGGCCCACTGTGTCACAACAGTAAACAAACCACAGGAAGCTTATCCGTCATAAGCACCTGCTGTGTCACCTGACTTATTTGTGAAAAGGGCCAATCAGGAATGAGTCCCAACTGTAATCTAGGAAAAGAACACAAGCAGGCGTGGGTTTAACACAATGCTGATTGGTAATTGACCTCATTGCACTGCTCTGATCCTAGTGCTGGGAAAACAACCGGACGAGTGTGTTTAATCATAGCTGCTAAAACTGTTTTATTTAGTTTGTCACGAGCCAGCTTTGAATGCCAAAGCAAGCTGGTTTAAATGTCAACATCAGTGGTTTAAAATGTAAAGCTTTCGTTTTGACCAAAACAAGAACAAAGTTATCCTTAGTCAGCAGCAGCCAGCTTCCCATTTCCCTGAATTGTACCACACTGAGAGGGGTGGGATGTGCCATGAAAGTCAGCGTTAAGGAAAGAAAGCACGGGATTGATCTGCGGTTTGGGGCTGTGTAGATTCACGTCATCTGCATATGGTGTGTGGAAACTTTAAACAGCCAAGCCATCTTAGCGTTAAAGCTCAGGTTGCACTTATGTAGTGTTTGCATTCTTGAGATTCTCAACAGGGTGTCCAAGTGGAGGGACACCAGGGAGAAATGCAGAAGGTTGGAGCATCCTTGGTTAGCAAGCACCTGAAATGTTTTTCCCATGTTAACTTCAAATTCTGTATTCAAAAAGTGTGTAACATAACATGTATTAAGTGTTTTGCTATTAAAAACACTACTGTAAGACAACAAGGAAAATGTTCTCCAAAATATTTCATATTTTCATCCTCTACTTGACCCTGGAGGTAAGGCAGAGTCATTTACAGCTTTGCTCAAAGTGAAAGTTTGCAACCAGGTCAAGTACAATCAGAGGTATTTACAACACTTGCTAAAGAATGACTTCCTGTGGTGGAATTTCAAAAATGCACTTGTAATCTTGAGATATAGTCGCATCACAATGGTAGAGATGGTTCATGTTTTTTAACTGTTACAAGAGAATAACAAATTGGTATTTCACTACATATGTTAATATAATTCCTCACATCAAGGTTGTCAAATGTACTCATCTAACAAAATATAAATGACTCACCTCCGATGCATCCAGCAACGAAGTCCATCGTCGCTCTTCAACGTCCCCTGACAGTAGCGGAAAATGGACTAAATATTACCTACCGTGAAACAGACAGTTACAGTCACCAACTGTGTAATCTACCGTTAGGTAGACTGATTGACACTTTCAGTTAGCGTCTATGTTAGCTAGCGCTGGCTAGCTATGTCCTAGTCCCCCTCTATGACCTGACAACAACCTACAGATGCAGCCAATATGTGTAATGTGGGTCGTATTACTAAGCTTGTCCTCTAATTATCCTCACAATACTCTCCTGTTGACCTTCTCAGTGAACTGTTCTGGCGTTAACAGTCAATGCAGACACCCTCACCGCTAAAGCTGTCTATCAAGAAGGTTTATTCTAGCAAGCTAACTAGCGTCGCCGGAGATAATTAGCAATGGGCGGGATTTACCCGCCTCGCTAGAGTTTCTATCCAATCCGGATGAAGACTTGTCGCCGACACCCCGCTTCAGACGTAATCCTCGTCACTCATTGGCTGCTCAGCACAAGAACTCCCCAATGTTGAAATTCGTCATAAGTGCATGTGATGTTTTGCTTTTGAAATCCCCATGAATTCTCGTGTCAATGGATAGAGGCATTTGTTTCATAATTCAAACGTGTTTGGTTCGATAAATGTATCGAGCACTAATTTCATTATTCATTAATAGGCGGTTTGACAAATTATATCATCTGGTAGGCCTACCTACCCTTCAAATGTTCAGTCAAAAAGGGTTTCAAAAGTAACGTTGTCCTGTAAAGCCTCATATAATATAATATAATATAGTTTGTATCATATCATATACAATATAATCAGAAAATTAAGGTTTTGTGTTGATCGTTTAATTGTTGTGTATACATAACAAGTCTACTCTTTAGATGCAGTAAATCTTTCGGCTGTCTTCGACAAAAATCGGGATGAATGTTTGTAGTCGAGCCGGCTAGTAGTCCTGTCACGCCTCCGCTACACACGTAACAGCAACATACTCAAGGTTACAGCATGCTGCTAGAGCAAGAATGGGGACTAATCTGACAAGTATCTGTTGGTCGTACACCGTCTGACAGGATGCATATCAAGGATTTTGTGTCTGGATCCCTTGCAGGTAATAGCACATTTTAGCCCTGCCGGTTTCTAATGTAACGTTAGCCGATGGCTAAATGGCTAGCTACTGTAATAGTATGATGCAATAACCATATAACAGCATATAGGAAGATTATATTAACCCTGACATATATATGTTACGTTGTTTAACATTGTGTGCTTCTCCTCTTATTCGTGGTATACCTTGTTAAAACGCATGTCGTATACATGTTTAATTCATGTACACAGCCTGTGGGCAGTGTTACAGTTAGGCAACAAATCAACACGTTTGACTGTCCTCTCAGTTTAACACATGTTGAAGGGTTGGAGTTACAGCTCATAATCTTTAGGATCACTGTGTTTGTGTTTCTGTTCTTGTTCTGTGCCCTTGATGCTCCTCTCTTTTCTCTGGAAACACACAGGGGCATGTGGAGTTGCAGTGGGCTACCCTCTGGACACTGTCAAGGTAAACTGCAGTGGCCTCTATTTTAAACACGATGTCAATTTGGCTATGTGATGTGAATAAGGGGAATCATCATATTCCTTATTTTTTTTAGGTCCGAATCCAAACCCAGAAACAGTTCACTGGGATATGGCAGTGTGCAGCGGAGACTTTTTCAAAAGAAGGGGTAAGTGGAACCGGTGTAACAAATAGTGCAAGCGTGAGGGTCGACAGGTCCTTTTTAAACAAGTTAGTATGTAACAGTTTCTAAAGTGTAACATGTTCACTACACATTTTCAACAACTTTCTCACACAAACTTTATTCAGGGTATCTGCTATTGTTAAGATAACGATTACTCACAATTATTTCTCGATTAACCACTTGGTTATTTGATCAATAAAATGTTAAATTGTAAAAAAATCACTGTTTCCTCCTATAAGACTTGTATGACATGCTCAGCTGTCCTTTTCCCCCACCATTTAGTGATAATAAATTCACTGACATAGTGGATTAAAAATAACAGCAAATATCCACATTTACGAATCAGAGAATTTTGACTTTTACTTGAAAAATATGATATTTGTTGATTGATTTAATTGTTGACAACTAATAGATTAATCTTTGAAGCTCTAATGCTCATTATCAAAGTTAATTTGGACTTGCATTAGCATGAAAAGACAGTTTATAGGCATAAAAAGTGAAGTGATAGATAATAATGTAAATATGGTAAACATGGCATTGCTGATCCTGGTGCTAAAAGACACTTTTCAAGCAGGTAGAGAAAATAACAGGATCCTAGATGAGGAGGAGCATTCTTAGTTTGCTGCTGCTCTGTGGTTCATCTTTTTTTCCTCTAATTTGTTTCAGGTGCATGGCTTCTTCAAAGGCCTGTCCTTACCCATCACTACGATCTCTATGACCTCCTCAGTGGTGTTTGGCACATACCGGAACTGCCTGCAATGTCTAAGTCAGGCGCGAGGAGGTGGTCCAAACACCAAACCAGAGGTCTTCCTGTCAGGCATGTTGGCAGGGATAGCTCAGGTAATGGATACGACTTTACAACCCCCTCTTTTTGCAATGTATGTGTATATATGGCAGTTAAAACCCTAAAAACAAACATTTTCCCTTGGTTTCCCTGATGAAGAAAGCCTTACAGATAGTCTTAGTTGTTCACATTTTGAGATATACTCCTCTAATTCCCACTGTTGCATCTCTGCCTCCAACAGACGTCCGTGATGTCTCCAGGTGACATAGTAAAAGTGCGTCTGCAGTGTCAGACGGAGTCCAAGCGAGGCGGTACCAACATGCCCAAACCAAGGTACCGCGGCCCAGTCCACTGTCTGCTCAGCATTGTTAAAGAGGACGGGTTCAGGGGGCTCTACAAAGGAGCTCTACCACTCGTACTAAGAGACGCACCATCTTTCGCCACATACTTTCTGACTTACACAACCATCTGTGAAAAGCTCTCAGGCGGCAGCAAGAAAAGACCAGGTGAGAGCAGTCAACACCACGTTGATACCCACAAAAGGCTTATTTTTGTATTTTAATTGTGTCTTCTTTTATGCTCATCTCAAGATTCAAGGCTTTATTGCTTTTATGTGCACATTAGCTACAGTGTAGATATGGCAATGAAAAACTTAAGTCACATGCTCCTCCAACAGTGCAACATAAATATATATATATATATATATATATATATAGGACATCAAATAAATAAAACAGATAAAATAGTGCAAGAGAATGTTTTGAGATGTGCAAAAATGTAGATACAAATCAAATAGAAATAGTGCAAGAAAAGTATATATACAAGTATATATATACTTTGTTACAGCCCAAGTCATGTGATGATTATTATTTATATTATTATTATGTTTATTCACATGGTCACATTCAATAACTTGAATGAAGTCATTCCCGATTATTGAATGATTCATTCACAGCTCTTCTTCTTATCAGCGTCAGTCATCATGTTGTATCACAATCTAAATTGAGAGTAATGCAATAGCTGTAAACTTGCTCATAAACTAAAGCAGACGTGTGCAATACTCATCCCTTATCAGTGCATTACCTAAAGGAAATGGGAGTTGGCAAGACCCTAGTTTGAAGAAGCAGATAAGAGTAATGGCACGGGAGCAAAGCAACGTGCTGCTGTAAAAAGACAGCAGCAAAACATATTTAGCCACCTAAAAAGACTGTGAACTAAAGACATTTGATCCATTTATTATATCTATCTGGGTGGCAAAGTCATTGTCAGTGTTCTCTTCAGAGCCATCAGTGTCCATTGAGAAAAAACTGAGGTTACCTACTGTAACCCCAGCTTCTATGAGTAAATGGCGCAGCCCTCTAAGGCTATTGCTATTGGGTAATCCCCCTGCGCTCCCGCACAGCACTGAAACACTTGTAGTCCACGCCCAACCGCAAGGTGGGCCCCACCCTCGGGCCTCCTTCCGGTATAAATAGGAAGGNCGCTGAAGTTTCCTTAAGCCGCTCTCCAATACAGCGGCTAACACGGCGTTTCAAAGTTTCCTTTTAATTCCACTGCGTCACAGATCGATCCTAGGAATCTCCGTATCCTCGATTTCCGTAGATCCACGCTGTGGTACAAGTCTTTTTTGTTGACTTAATATTGCGGCAGTAATCTTAAACAAAGTGCCGCGAGGGACTAAACAAGAGAAAAAACTGAGGTTACCTACTGTAACCCCAGCTTCTATAAGTAAATGGCGCAGCCCTCTAAGGCTATCGCTATTGGGTAATCCCCCTGCGCCCCCGCGCAGCACTGAAACACTTGTAGTCCACGCCCACCCGCAAGGTGGGCCCCACCCTCGGGCCTCCTTCCGGTATAAATAGGAAGGTGGCCCCGCAATCTGCTCCCATACAACATAACTTTTCTTCAGCTATTCGTAGAGCCAGTGGGGCCCCGCACTTAGAGGGCTGCGCCATTTACTCATAGAAGCTGGGGTTACAGTAGGTAACCTCAGTTCTATTTCGTATATGGCTTCGCCCTCTAAGGCTATCGCTATTGGGTTAAGGGCGAAGCATGATGTAGTCTGCGCCCCACTGGGTCCGCCCGGCACTAGAAACACAGACATACCTGCTCAATAACACCCCCCTGCCTGATGTGCCATGCGTAATGGCTCATCACCGTACCTGGAACATAGCAAAACATGCCTATCTTCCCGACGGGGTGAAGGCTGGGAACAATACATACCGGCCGCTGTGAGAAAGTAGAGACGAAAGTCCCACCTCGTCCTGCGATCGTAGTGGGGGAACAGCAGCTCTCTGCGTGCAGACAGGCAGGAGAGCGCACAGCTGGATCCCTGACGTCACTCACTCTGACCAGGCACTCCGTACAAAGTGTGTCAGAGGAAAAAGGAAAATTCCTCAGGGTGTAGTGCGCTGTGAAGGTTCTCCGCGGGGGCTCCACCCGCCAGAGAACATATGCCTGTGACACAGCTCACCACACAGCCAGTGTGAGAGCCGTTGTGCAGAACAGAGGTGGCCCCGAATCGAGCGCTCCCTCAATAGTGCACGAACAGGCGGCTGGAACGGCGCCCAGGCCGCCGTAGCGCGCCACATAGCAGGACAGCGCGCGCACCGGGCCAGAGGAGATGAGATGTGGCTTCTTCCGCCTCGCGATTGTATGGAGGCGGAAAAAAACCCATCCCAGGGGATTCACTCCTTGACCTAAAAGTGCTTGTGATACCTTTGGCATCAAAGGCTGGGTTTAGGCCGTAGCACAGACCAAAGGCCATCATTCCTTGAATCCGGAGGCATGACGAGGGCCAACCGAAGGAGAGGCCGGATAGATTTAAACTCACCCTTTTGCATTGATTTAGAGCCAAC